GAAAGATAAACTACTCGAGATATTTAAAGATGCGACAAGGCTGAGCATCCTTGATTATGGTTCCAGGACGATGCTGAAAACACACTTGATCAGCAGCAGCAGCAGCGGGGAAACGGACAAACCAGGCAACAGCAGCGACTATTTCTAATATCTAAACAAATTATGCTAGTAGTGCAGCAAGAAAGCGACCGATAATTAGTTGATACACATGTGGCGCTGTAATGGCTGGCTGCTTACACCGGGTGAGTGGTCTTGTGCTGGAGAAAGTAATGGCTGCTTGCATTCGGATCACATGGGTTAAGCTGCTTCGTGGTCCAAATCAAGCCATCATTTCGGCCCTGCCTGCAGGTCAGTAGTGCCCGCATGCACATGTGGTGTTGTCACCACATCGCATTTATTTATTTATTTTTTTTGCGGGTGATCGCATTTATTTATGGCTGTAAAATTTTATCAGAAATGGTAAATCATGAACGTTCGGATTTTAAGTATGGCATGGCAATTTTAGTTCATATGAGATTGGTAAACATGACAATTTTCTGATAATTAATTTAACTGGAACAAAGTTGCCATGTTTTAACAACTAAAGTTGCCACCTCGCGTCGACTAAAGTTGGAATGAAAAAAACGTTCGGGTTGACATGCTTAAAATCCGAACGTTCATGATTTATCGTGGTCCAACTTTACTTCAGTTCCCGTTTGCGGAAAAAAGGAAATGTACTAGACATGCTAAGGTGAATGGTTTGCATTTAGGGTTCAGGTACTTGTGTATTTAGAAAAGATATAAATCCTCAACTTACTGCACATCATGTTTGAACATGGGCATCTGAAAATTGCTGCAAACGCTATGATTGAAATTTCCGTTTTTAGAAAAGTCTGCGCCTGCAATATTGAAAACAACAAGTCAAACATTATGTATTTTTCTTCCTGCAAAACAAACATTGTCTTTTTTGTGCTGGCTGTATCTGATGATATTTTTGCACAAATTTTGGTATGCTCTCATGTTGTAACGTTGATGCACGTCTCTGAATTTTATAAGACGCACAAGTAAGTACCTGAACCTTAATCTCAAGCACCCTAAACCTTAGCAAGTTAGCATTACAAAACCCACTTGCTTCTTTTCACAAGCTTCATTACATCTTCTCTTCTATGTATATGTGATGTGAACACCAGTTGCAGGCCTGCATACCTTACTTTAATTCTTGGCCTCTAATTAATTGCCTTTCGGGGTCTTCCGTCTTGACTTATTAACCTAATGACAGATATTCCTCGGAGATTTTGCTGGTGGAGTTGGTCTAATCAAGGTAGAAATTTGCACACCATACTTTTGACTTCAAAATTGAGATAACATAACCAAATCTCCATCACTGTTCTTTGTTCCGCAAGCATGCGTTTACTCTAAACGCCGATCTTCGAGCACACCGCTGGCCTTCATAATCATGCATGAAAAAAGCTTTGCGAGCCCTTTATGTCCACATAATCACATGGTCTAACAAAGGCCAAACCTGCCGTGGGTGGCAACTAGGAGGAGAAAAATAATTCCCACAAATTTATATACTATACTGGGACACAGAAAAGCTTATGATTGAGGTCATAGCAGCCACCACCTCCACTAGTACTGTGAGCAGTTGGGTGCTGTCTGCTGGAAATAGAATCTGGAAAGGTGGGATGAACCTCATCTATCCATCCATCCATGGCCATTTCTTAATCTAATAAGAGTCCTACTTAGACAGATAATTAGGGGACGATGCAAGAGACTAGGTCGCTGGCTAGCAAAAGGACAATTGGTGATCTACTGATGCCTATGCTACGCTGCTTTTCAGATTCCATCACGAGTGTGAATTTGCAAGGGGTTCTTGAGCAAGAAAATCATGCGCATCCGTTGAAGAAATTTGGTGGATGCAATGAACCACGAGGAGAAGAAAAAACAGGCACAAAAGAGCACATGCGCAAAGAACAATTCCAAATTCCAACAGTTTTGCTAGCGGCACTAGGGCTAGCTTAGCTTGGCTGCACCTGAATGGGCCGCGGCGTGTCGTTTTGCTTGAGCTGCGGAGTTTGATTGGCACTTACAAAATTCAGAAATGAAATTATTGCAGTAACTCTGAAGTTTCTAGGAGGTGTGTGTAAACCGAGTGACGGTTTCAGGCTTTGCAGCTTCATTCGCTTTGGTAAATTTTTCCTTCTTTTCTGTAAGCTGATTACCATTTGGTCGGAAATTTTTCACCCCATGCGAGTTGGACTTCGTCGTCGCATTGGAAAAGGCAAACTGGCAAAGCATATCAGATCGCTGATCAAATTTGTGATCCTAAAACTAAACAATACTGGCTGATCAAATTGCTGCACGGGTCCATTGTGCAACGTGTGTTCAGTTCAATGGTTAAGATAGGAGGTACGTCACGTTGATGCTTACGGACACCATGAAGCATATCAGATGGTAGTATGTTTCCTGCACACAAATTTCTCGGTCCAAGGGTGCAGCTACTTCTTTATGCGTTCAGAATGTTCTGGAGGCTTGCACGGAATAACGCCGTCTGTCTTCTGAAACCCTGAACCAGCTGCTAACTAATTCTATCTCGTATAGCACTACTCCTTTGACTTGACAATAGCAAAAGAAAAAAGTGTTCACAAGTCCATTTGGGCAAACCGGCATTTGCTTGCTATAACAGAGTAGAAACAAAAGCATAGTTTGCACGATCTGTTCAAGGACAGGCTGTCGTGATGGCCATGAAACTGTCGGTGATGATGAGCAGTGTGTTGTTCCAGCCATAGAAAACTGCCTGAACATAATTGGAACTGGTTGGAATAGAAAACTGCCATGCTACAAAACTTTCACTAATATATTTTTGTGTGAATCTAAAAAAAAAGGTTGAATTGAATACTGTTTGGGCAGCCTGAACATAATTGGCATTGGTTGGAATAGAAAACTGTCAGGCTAACGTTTTACTGTAGCATATACTCATTAGGGAAACGTTTGGGGCCGGGTCACCGGCGGAACGATTCGGCCGGTCTCCCTCTTCCTCGCGCAGCGCACGTACAGGAGGGCACCAGCGCCGGCAGGCACCACGCGTCGGCCAGGCGACCAGCGCTCCTTCGACCGCCGCCGCCAGAGAAGAGCGCCTTGTCGTCCGCGTGCGGCCGCCCCTCACCGGATGTCGTTCGCGTGCGGCCGCCCCTCGCCGGATCTCGTTCGCCTGCGGCCGCCCCTCGCCGGATCTCGTGCGCCTGTGGCCGCCCCTCGCCGGACTACTACCCCTCTGCCTCTTCCCAGAATCCGCCCCTCTGCCTCTCCCTGGAATTCGCCCCGGCCGCCCCTCGCCAGACCTTGCAGCGCTCGAGCCTCCCCAGCCATGGCAGACTACACCCCACGGTGATTTTTTTTGTTAGAACCGGTTGTAGCAAAAATCTACTACTGTTGCAGCAAGACGCTACATCTAGTAAATAAAAAAGCTTCAAACCAGACTCGGAACACATGAAGAGCTGCAACCGTTTTAACAAAAGCTTCATCCCGCAGATGAAAAAGTTTCAACCCAGAGATTGAAAATCTTCAACCAGACACTACAAAAGTTGCAACCGTTTAAAAAAAAGCTTCATCCCGCAGATGAAAAAGCTTCATTCCGCAGATGAAAAAGCTTCTACAAGAGATCGAGAAAGCTTCAACCAAAATGTTGAAACCTGCGACGATGTCATTTTTGCTGGAACCAGCGGCATCGTTTGCTACAACCAGCGACTCACTTTGTTGCGACCCTTCACGGCGAGCTACAACTGGCGACGACGACGGCGACACGTTTTTGCTATAACCGCACTGCATTTTTCTGCTGGAAGTGGCTTCATTTTTTGCTGGAACCGGCGGATTTTTTTGCTTCAAACGGTGACATCCGCAGAATTTTTGCTGGAAGCGGCCATTAGATTTGCTGGAAAACGGTGACGGCGAGGACGGCGACGGGCGACCAGGAGCGGCAAGGACGGCGACCGGGGGCGACGAGGACGGCGACCGGGCGGCAACAAGGACGGAGATCGGCAATCGGGGGCAAGGACGGCGACCTGGTGGCAACAAGGACGGCGACCGGGGGCGAGGGCCGCGAGCCGGCGACGAGGACGGCCACCAGAAGGGACTGGAGGCGCGGCGACGAGGGCACCGAGCAGGAGCTACAGATCTAACCCAAGGTAGAAGAAGCCCAGGACGAATCGTTTTTTTTTTGCTGCATCCAGTGGCCACACGGGCTCGCATCCAAGGGCTGGGGCTAGACCGTCCGAAACTTTCGGCCGGTGCGCCGGCGCCTAGCATCGCCCTACTCCTTATATCTGTGTGAATCTGCATGCATGGCACATGTTGTTCGTTTACTTTTTCCAGATCAAACAGTGGTGATACAGGATCCATGACAAGACGGCCAGATCTGTCCGTGTCATTATTTAACTCTCTCGGAGGGGAAAAGGGACCTTTCCTCCGGTTTTTCCAGTCCCAACGCATGTTTTTCAGGCTCGGTTGGCAACTGCGACAAGCGTGCACACACCGGAAAAGAACAGATAACAAGACAAAAGCCCGTACTAGTAATACACCGGTTTAATCCTCACGCTTCTCCAAAAGATCACATGATGCGATCCGGTAACCGAGCACATGCAGTGAGGAGTGATCAGTTTTGATCGGCCAAATGAGAAAAGCAGAGTCCATTTCAGATAGTAATCTCCATGGTGGTACAGAAACTGATATTTGCACCCCGTGCAGAAGAACAGATAATCACTACTAACTCAGAATGCATCGGTTCCGATCGCTCATCTCTCATCTTTCTATACAGCAAGGTGAACAAACAAGATGGATCAAAGAAATCTACCGACCGGGCGCCTTCATGATCCGCGTTCTTGCTGGCTACTAATTTTCCTCCGCGGGGCAGGGCACTCTTCTCTGTTAGCAATCCCTCCGGTGCAGCAAGATGGCGCGGGTAGAGAGAGAGAAAAAAGAACGATCAATCGGGAGCAGCGACGAAACTAGAGCTCTCTCCCTCCCTAAATCTGCGGTAAGTCTAGCGCGCCGTTGTTGTTGTTGTCGTCGTCGCCGCCCTCCATGAACACTTTGAGCCAGTAGTCCATGTCGCCGTCGGCGGCGCCCGTGGGCTTGCCGAACGCGTCGTGGGGCTCCATGCAGACGTCGTTGATGTCGTCCAGCGGCATGGACAGCGTCTCCGACCAGAAGCTCTCGTCGATCTGGAACTCCTCCGACTCCTCGGACGAGGTGAAGCACTCCTCCTTGACGGACGCGGAGGCGGACGCGGAGCTGCCCGAGTTGCCGTGCTGCTCCGCCGCCGCCGAGGCCGTGGACGTCGACTCGGTGACCGTGGACGAGACGGAGCGCTCGGGCGAGGACAGCACGGGCGCCGCCTTGGCGGTCAGCGCGTCGAGCTTCCTCATCTTGACCTTGCCGTCGCGCTTCCGCGCCGCCGCTGCCGGCTTCTTGCGCTTCTTGGCCTCCTCGTGCTGCTCCTGCGCGCTGAGGTCGAGCCGCTTCTTGAGGTGGGTGTGCCACACGTTCTTGATCTCGTTGTCCGTCCTCCCCGGCAGCCGGGCGGCAATCGCGGACCATCTGCGCGCAAGCAAACAACACACGGATCGAATCCAATCAGCGCACAGTCCAGACAGATGGCAGGAAAAAGATGAATTCGTGTTTGTTTGTTTGTTTTAATCTGATGATGATCACGACGTGATTTGATTCCCCGACGGAACCGCGACGCCGCCCGTAGTTTAATGCCAAGTAGGAGCGGCGGTGGCGGCACAAAGTGTTCGCGGCACTGAAATCAAGAGGGCGCAGCTCGCCCGTGGCCGGAACGGCCAAACAAGATGGAATCTTTCAAGATCTCGCGCATCATCAGTGATGCAATTAGCCATTAACAAATCCGCACTTGCGATTTTTCTTTATTTCGGGCGGGGCCCGCGATGGATGATAACATATTGTATTTTTTTTGCCCCCACAAAGAAAAAAAAGAAAAAAAGGGGAATAATAAACCTCTCCTCTGTTTTGCGATTGAAGCAAGCGGCAATGATTGCCCCCGTTTTAGCAGGAGGGGAACAGTAAGGATGTGATTGAGGAGGAGGAGGAAGAAGGCGACAAGGAGTAATAGGCACCTGTTGCCGAGCAGCTGGTGCAGCTGGATGATTGACTGCTCCTCCTCGTCGGTGAAGTTGCCGCGCTTGATGTCCGGCCGCAGGTAGTTGATCCACCGGAGCCGGCAGCTCTTGCCGCACCGCAGCAGGCCTGGAAACAGCACAGACAACGGAGGTCAGGGACGGATCTTGAGCGCTCTGCACGCCGAGGCGCGAGGGAAGACGACGGAGATGCGTTTGTGAGACGGAGGGAGGGAGGGACTCACCGGCTTGCTTGGGCAGCGCGCGCCAGTTGCCGTGGCCGTGGCTGTGGATGTGGGCGACCAGGATCTTGTCCTCCTCCGGCGTCCAGGGGCCCCTCTTGAGGCCCATCTTCTCGCAGCACGGAGCCCTCCCCATTACCGCTCCTCTCCCTCTCGAATTCGTGCGCGCGGAGGAGGACGGATGCAGATGCGGAGGAGTCCTCTCCCTGTGTCTTTGACCTCTTTGGGGGAGAGGAGAGAAGAGACGGGAGGGAGCACGGCTAGCCTGCCTGCCTGCCTGCGTGATGCCGCGGAGTAATGGCGGAGTCGCGGGGGTGTCCCGGGTATTTATGCCCGGCGTGGGGCGCTTTGCAGAAACGTTTTTCAGAGGGCCAATTCCGCAACTTCGCCGAAGGAGCCAAAGCCAAAGGTGGCTGGCATGGCAAATTGTTTCTCACCCGTTTACTGTTTTCTCTCTCTCTCTCTCTCTCTCTCTCTCTCTCTCTCTCTCTCTCTCTCTCTCTCTTGAGACAACGTTTACTGTATGTATCTTTCTGACATGTGAGGGGGCGGTGTCTAATCCTGATAGGAAAGTTGTGATGGTTCATCAATTGACTCTCTGGAGAGCGTGATGATGGCTTATCTATCGATTAGATAAGGCCGTGATTAGTATTTACCTGCGAGGGGTCAGAAGATTTGGGTCCCTAGTGCTGGTGCTAAAGGTGGAGATCTGGAAGATTTTTTGGAAAATTTTGTTTACTCTATGAATGGTCAATACGGAGGTACATATCGGTAAATCAATTTCGTGATGCAGATACGGTCATATTTAGTGGTGGATTTGACCGATAGTAAATGCAATAGTATATCAATCCTCAAACGTGGATTATCATGTTGTTTTAGTAGTAGTTCTCCCGATGGTGACTTCGCGAATCGCGAGGCATGACCATAACATTACGAGGATGATGTCTCACGCGTTGACTGTTGTTGGCTCCTCACTATGTGTGTCGAGCACACCAGCTAGTTGTAGTGCTACGCATCTTGCGCAGGTGTGGTACAAAAGTAAAAGTTGAAGTTTCATTTCACCCGCAAAAAATACGCATGTTTTTTGTGTGCGAATGAAATACACATGGTTCTTTCAGTGCAATGATGTCTCAAACATGATATATGCGCGTGTATGCGTAGGTATGGGCATATGTGTGCGCGTTTTATGCGCAAATTTTACATTGGCCTAACGCAACTATGATAAACTTGTCGTCCTTTGTAGCCGCCGCCTCCTCCTCCTCCACAAAAAGCTAGGGTTTTTGCCTCCCGCTGCCACCGCTGCAGGTCTGCCTCCTCTGCGATGGCCTTAGGGCCATGGGGGCGCAGTGGATCTCGGCAAGGGTCGGCGGGAGGGCTCCGTTTTTAATGGTTTTGCTAGGGTTTGTGTCCTGCTCAGGAAGACGAGACGGCAGCGGCTCCCTGAAGGTGAAATAAAGGTCTCCCCGCCTAGCCCCCGTTCCGACGATGCGTCTAGCATCGTTGGTGGGTGTGTGGAGGTGTGTTTCCGGCGGATCTATCTTTGGTGGATTTGCTCGGATCTCGTCGTTGTTCGTCTACGTTCGTGTGTCTTCGGATTGGATTTTTCTGATCTACGTTATTCTTCATCTGCGGCGGTTGCTGTTCTGGTGCGCTGGTCCTACGGGGCCTTAGCACGACGACTTCCGACTGTCTACTACAACAAGTTGTGCCAGACTCCGGTGATGGAGGGGCGATGACGGCGGCGCGCCTTCGGCTCGCTTCAGTGCTGGTAGTTGTCGTTAGGTGGTCTACGGATCTGGATGTGATTTCTATTATTTCTGGTATTTGTTGTACTGCCATGATTGAAAATGAATAGATCGAAAATTTTCCCGCAAAAAAAAAACTATGATAAACTTGATTTTTCAAGTATAATGTGTTTTTATTTGTTGACAATAATGAAAACACAAAACCCCTATTGTTCCATCCTTATCTTCAAGACTAAGAAGAAGAATTATCCTCTTGATTTGCCGGTAATTTTAGTAAACCATTCACTAGCAAAGTACACGTGCGCTCCTACAGATTTCCGCATTTGCAGAAGATATTCATGCATATGTCAAATCCAAAAACTGGATACACGTGCGCTTTTTAAGTTGTCCGTGCACAACTTTCATGCGATGAGGGCATATATGCATCTAACAACTAGATGTGGCTTTCCGTGGATGATGTAAATATGGCAGTATTAATGACTATGATTCATAAAGATGGGACAATTACTAGATTACTAATTTGAAAACCATAGAAATGATATAGTATAATCTTAAAAAATGCTTGCTAATTCAGTACAAATGTTATTTCTAACATGTGGAGAGGAAACATTGGGAACAAAGGGCTCAAGTTAGAACTTATAACTACATAGAGGATCAAATTGAAACAACGTACAATTGTTTCTAGAACATACGTTGTAGACTAATATGAGAATTTGCATGTTTTTGTTTCGTAACTTCACCATTATCTATATAGATAGGAGATCTGAACCTATACCACACTCGTGTTGAATGTACTACAAGTGTCCTGTGCTCAGACTACCTTAACCTGGCATTGGGTCGACAGAGACCTAGGCTGACATCTCGGCGTTGGATTTCTCATTGGATTCTTAGATTTTGATGAAATTGAAATAGCAATGCATTATCATTGAAGTGACATCTTTGATATTATGAATTTTGTCCTTGGTCCTTGTTATCATCTCGTTCCACCTGGTTCTTAACACTAAGTGTGGAGATGGACAAAAAGGTGACAACATGTCTACATAAGGAAATCAAGGTGGATGACATGTTGTGACATCTAGTCTATAATGTTGGATTACATGGGAAAGTTAATGGGAGCTTAGGAACTGCAACGCGACAAGATGAGGAATAGACTTGGAGACAAGACAAGGCGAGATTCCAAAAAACATGGTTGGTTGTTTCTGACAATTCTCACATGTTTGGCTGAAACTCTCCTTTCATAGCGATAATCTATTAGGGTTACTAACGTTTGGAGTTCTCTAGCCAAATGGAAAGACACGGATTTTTCGACCGAGCGACAAGCGAGGATGATGTCAACATGGTTCGTTGACGTTGTAAGATTCACAATTAATATATGAATTAAGTGAATATGGATGTGATACTAAATGATACAAAATCGCATATACATCTTGGATACACGAGCTAGGAGGGACAACATTAACTTCCTATCATAGGATACTCTCGAGGCAGCTCGACAAATAATGACCCTGGAGTAAATTCATATATGCCCAATGTGGACACATACAACTCCATATCGCTAACCCTCCCAACCCTATTGTGCATTGTAGCCTTTCACCGATCTCTCATGCGAAGATATGAGAAAGTCAAGGGAACCATGGAATCACGTGCGTGTCACATAGATGTCAGTGCATGAGTCCTGACCTTGCTGCCTCTGCTCTTTTGTTATCCTGTAACCGTGGACTGAGTTCAATGACTATTATTCTAGGGATGGGGTGTGCTACTTGTGAGCTGCGTTGGGATTTCCTCAAAGAGGAGAGGATGATGCAGTACATTAGAGATAAGTATTTCCCTCAGTTAAGAATCAAGGTTATTAATCCAGTAGGAGAATCACACAAGACCTCATGAACAACACCTACACACAAAAGAACAAATACTTGCACCCAACGCGATCAAGGGGGTTGTCAATCCCCTCGGCGGTTAATTGCAAGGATCAAGTCCGATAATGGTAGATAGATAAACAAAAACACAAAATAAAAGAATGTTAAATAAATTGCAGCAAGGTATTTCTGGATTTAATATATGATAAAGGTGGCCATAGTCTTCACTAGAGGCTTCTCTCTCGAACAAAAAGCATACGACAGATAAATAAATTACTGTTGGGAAATTTGAAGGAAATATGTCCTAGAGGCAATAATAAAGTGGCTATTTTATATTTCCTTATTCATGATAAAGATTTATTATTCATGCTAGAATTGTATTGATCGGAAACTTAAATACATGTGTGAATACATAAACGAATACGTGTCCCTAGTAAGCCTCTACTAGACTAGCTCGTTGATCAAAGATGGTTAAGGTTTCCTAACCATGGACATGTGTTGTCATTTGATAGTAGGATCACATCATTAGGAGAATGATGTGGTGGACAAGACCCACCCGTTAGCTTAGCATAATGATCGTCAGTTTATTGCTATTGCTATCTTCCTGTCAAATACTTATTCCTTCGACTATGAGATTATGCAAATCTCGGATACCGAAGGAATACCTTGTGTGTTATCAAACATCACAATGCAACTAGGTGATCATAAAGATGCTCTACAGGTATCTCCGAAGGTGTTTGTTGAGTTGGCATAGATCGAGATTAGGATTTGTCACTCGGAGTATCGGAGAGGTATCTCTGGGCCCTCTCGGTAATACACATCATAAGATTGCAAGCAAATGACTAAGGAGTTAGTCACAAGGTGATGTATTACGCAACGAGTAAAGAGACTTGCCGGTAACGAGATTGAACTAGGTATAGAGATACGAACGATCGAATCTCGGGCAAGTAACATACCGATGGACAAAGGGAATTACCTATGTTGTCATAACGGTTTGACCGATAAAGATCTTTGTAGAATATGTAGGAGCCAATATGGGCATCCAGGTTCCGCTATTGCATATTGACCAGAGAGGTGTCTCGGTCATGTCTACATAGTTCTCAAACCCGTAGGGTCCGCACGCTTAACGTTCGATGACGATATAGTATTATATGAGTTATGTGATTTGGTGACCAAATGTTGTTCGGAGTCCCGGATGAGATCACGGAAATGACGAGGAGTCTCAAAATGGTTGAGAGGTAAATATTTATATATAGGACAATGGTATTCGGACATCGGAAGTGTTTCGGGAGGTACCAGGTACTTATCGGGTCACCGGAAGGGGTTCCGGGCACCCCCGGCAAAAGATATGGGCCAAGAGGGGAAACGCACAAGCCACAAGGGGCTGGTGCCCCCCATATGGGCCGGCCTAGGAGGAGAAAGAAAGAGGGGAAGGGAAAGGAAAGAGGGGAATAGGATTCCCCCTTCCTTCACTCTCCCCCCTTCTTTCCTTCCCCCTCCGACAAATATGGCAGGGGGGCGGCCAAGGGCAGGAG